TTAGTTGTCCAGATCATTTCTTTCTATTTTTTAGTAGAGACGGGGTCTTGCTCTTGCTCAGGCTGGTCTCAAACGCCTGACCTTGAGCGATCCACCCGCCTCGGCCTCCCAGAGTACTAGGACTACAGGCGTGAGCCACCGCGCCCGGCCGAGACCTGAGTTTTAACAGATAAGATAGTATGATGTTTGTAATTTCAAAATTAGTTTTACACATTTATCATTACTAATCAATTCCTAACTTTGATTTTGACAAAGCTTAGTTTTCTGACCAAATACCATTTTCTCCCTGACATTTCATCCAAATAAATTATATATGTTTCTTTAGTACACATCCAGCTATTTTTTATGTGCATTTCTTGAACTATCTTAGATCTGTTTTAGATAATCTCAAGGGTGGCTGCCATCCTTCTTTATATATGCATACTGCTGGTTACACCAAAAGATGGAGTCTATTTACCCTTCCCTTGCATTTGGGCTGGCTTTGATCAGTAAGATGGGGTGGAAGGGATGGTCCATTAGTTCCAAACCTAGCCTTTGTGAAAACTGGCCACTTCCACTTCCTCCTTCTTGGAAGTCAACTGCCATAGAAAAAGTTCTATTACCCTGAGACCACTGTGATGAGAGGAAGTACAAGCTAGCCACATGGAGAAGCCACATATACAAAGAAAGAGGCCCTACCAGCCCCCACTCCCAGTCCCAGTCATCCCAGGTGAGGTACACCACAATGTGAGTGAAGAAGTCATCTTGGACATTCCACCCTCACAGACAGCAAGTAAAACACATGAACCACCTAGTTGAGCCTTAACCAGATTTTGGAATTGTGAGAAATAATAAATTATTGTCTTAGGTTACTAGGTTTTGGGATGATTTGTTACTCAACAATAGATAACTGAAACAAGATTGTAAGAGACTAGGAATAGCTCCAAATTAGAGAACTGAAGAATACTGCCATCTTCACAAAAATGGATTTCAAATACTAGTTACAGCACAGAGTTAGGACAGAAGCAGTGAGGAGAGATACCATGCTGCAAGCTGGTTTCCATAATCACCCTTCCACTTGGTCAAAGCCCTGAAAGAGGTCAAGTAAGACAGAGTAAACCCCTTGGATCTTAAGAGTAGTCTTCAGTGTCTTTTCTTCATGAAAAACACTCTACTGATCATCTAAGGTCTCAGCATAGCCATTACTTCATCCATCCATCTATCCATCCATCCATCCAAACCTTTACTGGGTCCCTGTCTTCTACCAGACACTGCACTAACAACTAGAAACACAAATTTTAATAAAATGTAGTTGCTGTTCTTACAAAGCTTATAGTCTGATGAAAGAGGATGATAAGGAAATAAATTATTACAGTGTGATAAGTACTACAGAAGGTATACAAAAAAGAACAAAGATGCACAGAGTGGTATGACAGAAAAGAGTAGTGGAGTCTAAATCCTACAGGACGGACAGGAGGACATCAAGAAAGGGCACACTGAGGGAGAGATGCTTAAGATAAATTGTAAAGGATGAGCACCAGGTGCATTTAGGATAAAAGGAAGAGAAATTTGGAGATAAGCTTACCATTGGGAAGTTCAAAGAACAAAATAAAGAAATAAAAAGTGAGATTAACTCTTTGCAAAAAAAAAAAATTCATTACATCCTAGAACTAAAAATATGTCTTCAGTCAAAGGAAAAACTGCCTAGAACTCTGACTAATCTCGAATTAAACAATACTAAAACCCCACACCTGGGATAAGAATGTGCCACTAGAAAGAACAGGGCTCTTATTGCTGAAGCCATTTTGTCAGTGTCTCCACTACTATTCAAAAGGAAAGGCTGGCCCTGGGGACTACTGGACTTGGCACCAATGGGACAGCCACCATTTGATGCCACCAGCTGTCAAGGTCTTCCCACTCACTGCCCCTGCTCTGCGTAGAGACTCACCAAGCCACTTGTTTACAAATGTTTCCCATTTAGAATTTCCCACAGAGAGAAAGTGTACCGCCAATGAAGGCATTCTGATCTGCTTGTTAATTTCAGTTCCCAATGTACATTAATAAAATGGTATTCTGGCTCGTTCTCTTGTGGAGTTGGCTGCTATGAGTCAGCTCTCCTGAAGCTGAAACACTCTGGTCATACAGATCAAATCCTAATCCTAGATCCTCAGAGCTGATCCTGAACCAGGGTAACCTCATAAACCACCCCGCTGAGACCTGTCTGAAAAGCTAGTCGATCCCTGGCCCCATTATCCAAAACTCTCCTGCAAGCACTTGCCTTTCTTTCCCCTACCTGATTGCCATTTTTTTTGAGGACAGATGACATATCTATCTGTATCTCTGTGCTAAGTACTCAATAAATGTTTCAATAATGAATGAATAAAACAGCCAATGGAGACAGAAATAAGAACCTACCAACAACCACCCATTACTTGCATATACGTTTTTTTCTATTATTACAAAAAGTTCTCTGGTCCATTATAGAAATTGACAAGGGAAGAGTATAGCATAAGTGAAGGCTCTATTTTGATTTCTCCATAGATTTTGTGTATTAAAAGTCACATTCAGATAATAATCTACTTTGTGCCAAACTGATTCACATTAAATTTCTGTACTTTTATTTATCTAGCTTATAGCAGAGCCCAAGTCAATACCAAGAGATTTACGCTCAAAGAGCAGCACTAAAGCCCTTCTCAACAATGAGCTATATTTTCTTTTTCATGGCTGTAGCTTTCTTTTCTACTTTTCTATCAGTTAAAATCATATTCTTGCTAAAAGATGGGTCCGAATCCACTTTATATAAGTTATCATCAAGCTGGACATAAAAAGTATACTAGTCTCATTCCTATATTTGGAAATAAATTATTTCCATTGTGCTAAGAAAGCTATACATTTGAAAAGGGGAGGGGAGGAAACATTTCACACCATGAAATGCGATATGGATCTGAAAATCAAACCTAAATATTGTTAGCGTCTCAGAGAACTATTGGGATAGAAATCTCATAGCACAAAACACAACTGAAAAATAAAAGCCCTCTCCTAGCTATTATAACAGCGTCTAAATTCTTTTCAGTCAGTGCCGTTACTTAGGTTAAACACTGGTAGTCTCTGACACCCAGAAATCCTTAGTTACCTTGGCTAAATATGGATAGGACTCTTAGGAGGAGTTCCACAAAATCACAGGTGTAATTGAAAAGAACAGAAAAGCATGAGGATGCACGGACACCTGAGAACCCCGAGTCAATTTTTAT